AAAATATAAAAGTTTTGTTGACCGCGCACGTAAGGGGACTGAGAATGACGCGCAAGAATGCCTTCAAATTCCGCCATGTTGGCTTCACTTTTTGAGCTCGAGTCAGACTTCCATGTTATATAGTTCAGTGGTCGAGCCTTCCAACTCCTTAGAATGCTAATTACTTCCGGCGTGTCAAAGTTACCTGACCTCAATATTAACTGGATGACTGAGCCCAAACGAAGAGTGCCAACCACCCCCGCTATACAGCCTCGTTTCCGTGATGGTACATTCGGCTTGGTTTCACCATATGGTCGTAACGGTCATAAAAACTGAGTCACGATCTTTCTCATCACCCGAAATACAACATTTTAGAACTGAAAATACGCGGAGTGATTAGAGAGTACTTATGATTTATATGTGGTTTACAGGTATAAACTATTATAAATTGGCTGTTGAGAAAGATGGCCAAACCAGGATTAAGAGCACGTTACCTTGTTTCCGATTGCGAATTGGCTTCTGCAAAGACTACAGTCTATAGAATCTACAAATTAAAAATTTCACATTTATGTACAGTTTTTTTCGGATCGAATCGGAACGCTTTAACAAACTCGGATCGGACTGGATTCTGGTCAGACAATTTCGGATTAGATTTCAAAAAATTACCAAAATTACGGCGATTGTCAACCTCCAATCCAATTCGATACACACTACTTGATCGGCTAGAAGCCGGTAAACTTCAAAGCCACGAAATAGAGGACCTTTATTTGATGTTGAACAACTTCAACTGCACCCGGCCTCGCTAAGGCAAGATCCTCAAGATCCAAGATCCCACTATTTTCCATGTCTGCTATCTAGACCCACAAAAAATGCTTACTACACTTCGAGTACTCTCGAATATCAATTAATATCAATTCTCATATCACATGTATACTAATACTTTATATCCAATTCCCCAAAAAGGAAAGAAGATAAAATAATTTTCTTTAAATAAAATTATTTTATAATAATTAAATAAAATTGTTTAAATATGTTTTTCGAAATTCGCAGTTATTTAGTTGAGTGAAGCCATTCAAAAAAACAAAGCAGTTTCTTGGAGAGCCGGTTCTTTGCCTCGAAGGATCATTTTCGAATTTCGTCTCGTTTCCAAGTCATAAAATACCTCTTCAGTTATAACTTCTTCATCGTAGAGTGTGTTAGAGCATTAATTGTGTCAGCATAGCTGAAAGAGGAGATAATCGTATAGTTATAGACTTATAGTATTTGTAGGCCACTCGGTGACCCAGGTTCGATTCTCTTGTAAACTGGAAAGCCCTTCTTTCTAAACTTTTGACATAATTTTGAGCATTGATGTACATAGCCGGTCGGAGCTACCAGAGTACCAGGTGCAGTGTTCTTCTCTTCGCCTCTGCAAGGAACTCATCCTAATTCAGATCAAGGTTTATTTTAAGAAAAATTTAGAACTGCACGTATAGGGATGTTACGAAAGCAACGGGTGTTTGACTGGGGGGAGGGGGGTCCAAAGGATTTTTACCTGCATATAGGTGACAGAATAATGGTGTGGTTGGGTGGGAGAAAGGCCAGACTGAAACTCGATTTTGGGTGCAATTTAAGAGCTAGGGAGTGTTCCCCAAAACAATTTGAATCTAGAGGCTCTTAAGTTCTGGCAAAGTTTTGTTTTACCCAACAACTCACAAAAACTGTTTCAAAACATGTAACTGCATGAGAATCATGAATATTCAATATATAACAACCTTAAATTTGCATTTCAGGCAGCAAAGAATATTAGGTACTCCCACTCTAATCTCTTTTGGAGGGCTTCGCTCGCCCCAATTTTACCTTCTTTTCCATTACCCTAGACTTGCTCCAAGTCTCGCTTTGTGGAGACCCACTATATTGTACAATATATCTCCACAAAGAGAGACTTGGAGCAAGTCTACCATTACCCAGCACGTAAGTGATTTGTGAGGAAAATAGGAGGGTCTGGAGTCCTCCCGTAGAAAACGTTTATGTTTTTGATGCTCAATGACAGCATTTCTGGAATTTTCTGGAGCATTTTGGTAGTTTGGTGACTGCACATTTGAGTTTTAAGAACTGCACATTTTGTGCAGACCTGCACGTTAAAATAAACCCTGATTCACATGCCAAGTTACTATTGTTCTAAATTATAAAAGCCTAGAACAAAGGTGACATATTGCATTAGATAACCCACATGCTTAGATACTATTGTTCTAGCGTAGAATAGAACAAAGGCGTTGGGATCAAACGTAAGGCCAAATAAAAAAAAATACATGGTTAGCGTCACACTCTCACAAATTTTCAGAGGCGGGCGGGCGGATTTTTTTTTTAATTTTTACTCGTTTTTTAATTTTTTAATAATATTTTTGGAGGGGATGGGGGGCGGTTTTTCCACCATATCGGTGATATTTTTTGTACTGATGTTGCGAAGGCCGCCATTTTGCTTTAAGAACCTTGTATACCCAAGCCTACGCGCTCCTATCGATCAGTATATAGCGCGAAGGTCTGAGCATGAGAAAAAATTCAAATATTAAACTGTTTTAAGCTGTAAAACGAAGAGATTTACATAAAAAAAAAAAAATTCAGAGGCGGCAGAAAATCGAGAGGCGGGCGGTGACGCTAACCAAGTATTTTTTTTTATTTGGCCTAAGAGTGATTCGCTTTTATGGTTTTATAAATAATTAATTCAATGCTTAATTTCATTGATACCTTTGTTCTATTCTATGATTTTATAAACTAAAAAAAAATTAGGCATACAAGTTAAGTGAGCAATCGTAAGTTATATAATTACCTTTGGCTTTGTTCTATTCTATGATTTCGCAAACTAGAACAATAGTAACTAGGCATACGAGTTATCGAATGCTTTGTTACTTAAAAGTTTGTTGTATGTATTCTATGGTTTCATAAACTGGAAATCCAAAGGCGGTCAGTTCAGTACGTGTACGTAACACTGGAGCAATGACTGATTCACTAATTCTTCATACTTGACCTCTATAGACTATAGGGAGAACAGTTTAGAACTGCTAGAGTTATCCAGCATAAATAAAAAGACCACAATTAGCAAGGAATTTCAACTATTTACATAACACACAAATTTCGACATATTCTGTCTTCATGCACACGTCCTCTTTTCATTCTCTTTCCTCTGATAGCGCAGATAAACTTTACAATCTTCGAAACCTGGAGAAAGCGACTCCAGTGAACTGGACCGAGCAACGAGTACAGGAGTATTTCGATTGGTCAAGAAAAGTCGTAGCAGGTTTGAAAGGAACCAATCAAAAATTGGAACGGTTACACTGGACGAGATTTTGGGAAGACAATAATAATGGTTAAATAAAGTTCTTATTTTATAAGGTAGCCTAGTTCAAGGTTCAAACCTAATGATCGTAAACCATTTCACTATTCGGACGGATCGTGACCAACTGTGAATTGCACCCACGATTTGTACAATCCTATCCTTAGCAGTATGATTATGATTACCAAATAAACGATTACCAAATAAACGAATCGCGGTATTGGTCTATATTCATTTAAGGTCCAGACACACCGGACGCGATTCGACAACGCGACGCGATTTTTTAGTTTTTGAAAGTTAATAAAACAGCCAATGAGAGCAATACTTGGAAAATTTAAATTAAACTAGGATCAAAGTTATAGGTCGAATCGAAAATCGAAAAATCGCGTCGCGTTGTCGAATCGCGTCCGGTGTGTTCTCGCTTAAGGCTAGTTTTGAAGGATTTGTAAGAAATGTTTAAGGGAACTAACTAAGGCCCGTAATTCTCCACTAGGCCAATTTTTTCGCGCGACGCGAAGCGAAAAACAAATCTTGGCAATGTGATTGGTCAGCGAAAAAATTCGCCGTGAAAAAGTTGGATCAGTTCCTACTTTTTTTACTGTTCGCGCGAACAAATTCGCCTAGTGGAAAACGGACTTAACGCCTGTATTTTAAAAGCTCACTCACAGTCACACTTAAAGAGTGGAGGTTCGATCGGAGCTTCCCTTGGGTGTCAATGCTGTATTTGAATAGCTGGAGGGTGAGTAGTCACATAGTAAGGTACGGCACCAACCCTCCAGCTATTTAAAAACAGCACTGACACTCAAGGGAAGTTCAGATTGAACCTCCACTCTTTGAGTGCGAGTGTGCTTTTAGAATACATGCAGAGGTAAGTGTTAAATGTCAAGCCAATTCCCTCAAACATTTCTTACAAATCCTTCAAAACTTAGAACTTATCAATGCAAGATTATGCAAAATTCCTACTGTGATCACAGAAACGTTGATAGAGTAAACCAGGGGCCGGTTGTATAAAAAAGTGATTAAAGTTAACTAATATAACTATAGTTAGTGGAAACGTCATCCAATAAGAAGCGCGTATTTGAGAGTTAATCACTATTTAACTACAAAATAGTGATTAAAAAAGTGATTAAGAGTTTTATACAACCGGCCCCAGGCTTTAAAGTTCCTTATCGTTAACCTGTTTGTCTTTCTCTCGTAGACCAGAATCAATCGCAAAAGCGCAACTTTTGGCTTCTTCTGAATTTCCTCCTGACATTCATGGGTCTTTTTCCATTTCTTTCAATGTTGGTGAGCTTTGATTAAGTGTGTATTATCTGAAGTGCTCTTTGGGCGATATGTCCCGTTTTCGACTGATGATCTGCTTATACTATGTTAGTATGTTCACCGTTTTTGTATTGTGTGGAGGCAAATCCTTAGGATGGGTTTTGTCGGTAACTATAGATCTATTTCCTTGTTTATGTTTTCGTCGGCGTTTGTACTCGTACATGTCTGTGTCAGTGACGTAACCAGAACCTTCCTGGCAAATTATTGCCCCCCCCCCCCTCCCCACCCCTTGGGGACCAGTACAAGCATGTACACTATATTTTCTTGTAATGGAAATTTTATATCTCCCTATGTTTTAAATGTTCTGGATACGTTTGTGATTACTGAAGTAAAGTTCTTATGTGTTAAATGGCTATTTATAAATCATTAAAACGCATTAAAATAGCCCCCAAAATGCTAAAAATGGCATACCGACTCTAAAATGTTAGCATATGGGTAAAATTGCTTGGGCCCTCCAGAGATTTTTTCGCCCCCCTTGACTAGAAATCATCGCTATGTTGGTGTCTCTGTGTGTGTATGTCAACACGACGACTTAAAAAAGATCAAACGCATTAATAGAAACTTTTGTGGAACTAATGGCCCAAGGACAGATTGATTAAATATTGGTTAAATTTGATTGAAAATTGGATGAGAAATTAGCAAAAGTTTGTCTTTCTTTGCCAGGTAGAGTAAACTGAATGCGTAATTAGCCCATTTTGCATGATACATCACTTAATTCGCTGGAGAAGATGATACAGTCTACGAGTTCCCTCTAGTTTACTTCTGTTTTTATTTCATCTGTTGGGTCTGTATTTGCTTTTTCCTTGTCCTTGTCCTCCTCTATCTTCTCGTTATCCTTGGTCTGTTCTTGCTTGCTTGAAGTTCCTTAGCTTGTTTGTTTCTTCCGCTTTCTTCTCATTATCCTGTTTGCCTTTCTCTCGTCCAACGGCACGGGCTGCAACCTGAGCAGCGAACTGTGCCTGGATGGTTGAGGACTCTGTCGAAGCAGTTGAATTTGTCAAAAGAGGGGTACTTCCAGAACGACCGTTTGCTGCACTATTGTGGTCAAGAATTTGTTCTGTGACATCTTTATTGTCTCTTGGGTCTCGAATTACAATTTTACTAGTTCGTTTTGGTTTAGGTTTGGTTAGATTATTCGTTTGAATTGTGGGGTTAGAAGGCTGCGGTAGCTGTTGCGGTTGTATTTGTTGGTTAGGCTGCACGGCGTAGTACATAGGGGACATTCCTTGGTTATAATATTGATGTTGCTGTGGGTGATATTGTGGTTGAAATGGTGCAGTGGTCGGTTGCATTTGGTACGCTGGCTGGACATTAGGAATGAATGTAGGTCTCATCACTGGTTGCCCATAAGGATCCTAAAGGAAAACACAACTCGTAAGCCTGGTTTCCCTATCCAAGTAGCCTAGCACAAAAACTAGCAAGACCCATCAATAGTGGACAAAAGCACCAACCATTTTTGAGACCTTCAACTGCTTACCAACTTTTAATTTTTAACCAGTGCCCAAGCTGGTTGCTTGGAATTTATATCTCAGGGGAATATTTGTGCTTTTGTCTATATATTCCTGATAAAGAAAATGTCAAATTTGTTATGAGGATGCGTTTGCATTTTGTACGCTGGCTGAACATTCTGAATGTACCCGTGTCGCATAATTGGGGACACAAGGTTCCTACAGAAAAACGCAATACTTTAAGTGCAAGCTGCTCTGGAGAAACCTGTCTTTTATGTGTTGCTTACAAATCAGTATTCAACATTATGTGTTGCTTTACTATCAGTATCAAAGTGTCTTTATTCTTTTTCAGGCAATTCATTCACAATTCATTCACTGTCCATTCTCTCACGATGTTAAGTTACTGTCCTCCCCACCCTGATCCAAACCTACCTACCCCACAACTTGATACTGCATGCACATTCTGCTGTCGAATATATCCTTGACATGTAATCTGGCTTTAGAGTTTAGACAATTAGTAACTAACAAAGTGCTAACAAAGTTGGGCACGTATGGTAGCATTAACTGACATGCACCTTTTGAATTATTTTCGACAACGAATAGATTATATTTATTCAACATCAAATAACATGCTCTTTAATATGTAGGGGTGTATTGGAACCAATATAAAGAACCTGAAAAAATCTGGCCGGACGTTCCAGCTGTGATTGTGTTTAACCAGTTATGGTTGTATGTTACTTTGTCTGATATCGGACAATCCATGGGACAGGCATACACTTTATATCAAGAAGGGCACACCTAAAAAAGGTGGAATAGATGTCTATACACGGTAGAATGTCCATATGTAATTAAAATGATGTCAACGATGTGATATCAAATATGTGGCCGATATTTACCAAAAATAAATTGAATTAAAGAATTTGATGTGCGCTCGTTACATTAATTTATGTTATTATTTTCGCATATATTGGGTTACATTCCCGATATCTACTGGTTTAAAAAGTGTCTACATGCACAGATAGGTTGTATATAAGACTATCAATGGACCCCTCCATATTACCTATCAATTGGACCCCTCTATATCACAGACTAATTGGACCCCTCTATATCACCCATCCTCTTGTGTTCACCAACTTAACGAATTCCAGTCCATCCTTAATTTCGCCATTGACAAGTACTCACCAAAACGCTCAGTAAAACTTCACCCTGCAGATAAACCCTGGATGACACCCGAAATAAGAGGCTATAAAAAACTAGGGATCCAAGGATAGTGTGAAGTTTCGAATTGAAAAAGACACTGCAAGAACTATATATGGTCGCCGACAACCTAGAAAAGCTGATGGCTTACATCTCATTATTTATTGCTTTTAATACGCTCGGCACACGAGTAGCGTGACGTTTGAAACAAGCCTAACACATAAGAAACTTGCCTTGTGAAACTGATGCAATTCATCTATTTATTGTGATGCTACATGATGCTACACGAGACAATTCAAAATTTAAATGGTTTCGCCAACAACCAAATTTTGCATTTCTAAATTTTCATTTGCATTTGCAGCTGTCGCTAAAAGCTCCCCAAGAGGCTACTGCTATGCCAAATTTATCTAAAACTATAATTGAAATAGCTGTGTAAGATATGTTATGAATAATAAGCACTACGTCGTTACATCATTAAAAGGACGCATTTTATTCTCATCCGTTCCTTATTCTATCCGCATATCCGTTCCGTGGATCCGTTCCATCCGCTTCCGCATTTTAACCTAATTGTGACATGCTTCACAATAACATGTTTCATTGACCTTTTAATTTTGACTTTTCCCAGTGTCACGTCTATTTTCAGCTTTTCGCATGTGTTGAATAATGTCACTTTAGATTTCAATAGTTTTACAATTAAGCAGTGTTTAAAGCAGTTTTGACAAGCTTTGAACAGTTCTGTTTACAGAATACTACAGATTGATTCTCGTAAGATCTGGTAGAGTTATCGTTGCACTGAACAAGAGTTTACACCGTTGACAACGGCATTGTGCTACAGTAAACAAAGACAAGGCCCGTGACGGTACACGTTGGCTACATGCACCTCCTTGCTTTTTTTTTCTATTGCATAAAGCTTGTTGGCGAGCCAAGCGATTGGCGATAACACGTTGGTGATAACGCATTGGCTATCTCCTCGTCTTTCTTATTTAATTAAGGAGCTCTGACTCGCAAGTTATTTTCTTCGTAAACGCCGTACAAACGTTTACCCGCTTCTGTTTAATAGTTGTTTCGCTCTTTGTATTGAGCGTAGCCATATATTCTGTGATGTATACACCTTATACAGTCAATGACAGTGTATAATGAATACACGTTCTAAATAATATCGATGGGCACTTAATTGAATACCGGTAATGCACAACATAATACTACATAATAGTATTATTGCGTAGAATCTCAAAGGACAAAGATTTTCTCAATACTCATGTCTGAAATGTTCATATACTTGAAAACAACACTGTCTCGCTTCTGCCTACGTATACTGTACCTCTGTACAACGAGTATGCCGTGAAAATAATATCGGCACTCAATTGAATGCCTAGAATCTCAAAGATTTTCTCAATATTTACGTCTGAAATGTTTATACATTTGAAAACAACACTGTCACGTCGCTCCTTCCTAGCTCTGTATATTAATGAATATACCGTCCACATATATCAGTACTTGATTGAAAGACCGTCATGTATAACATAAATTTATATATTGCGTAGATTCTCAAAGATTTACTCAATATTCACGTCTGAAATGTTTAAATTAATACATTTGAAAACAACACTGTCGCTCCTTCCTAGCATCGTGATCTACGGCTTCATAGCGCATGCGCATTTGCCCTGCTATAGAAAAAATCGGGTGTTCCGGGGGGAAAGATCCTTTACACAACATGAGAAGCGAATGTTCTGAAATTACAAAAATTTACAATAACGACAACGATCCCTCGAAATTTTTGTGAACTTGGCAAAGGGACAAAAGCACATTTAAAGAAAATAAATAAAATTGCTTAAATAACCTTCAAAGCACTGATTAAGTACAATAAATCACTGCAAACATAAATCGTATACACCCCCCGGAAAGTTTACTCTATGACTGACTGATTGCCTGACTGACTGATTCGTGTGAATTCGCCAGCCATCACAACAGTGTGAAGTGAAACTTCACACTAAAAACGACAACAAGCCTGGGCAAAAGGAAACCGCCACCTCTACTGTCGCTATCGTAACAAAGTAACCAATCTTTGGAAAAAAGCGCGCGACCAATTCTACCGGAGAACTGTGAGCCAAATGCGTGACACTGACCCTAGGAAGTGGTGGAACAACATAAAACTTATGGCTGGATTGTCCAAACCTGCTCCTATCTCAAGTATGACTATCGATGGAGTCACCTTGAGAAATGCTGATCTCGCGGAAGCGATTAATAACGTTTTTATCAATGTGGCAAAGGATGTCTTATCCCTCGACTTCACCCCCACTCCCTGTAGATTACACTCCCGAAGAGTATATCATAACTCCTGAAGTTGTAGAACATTCACTCTTTGCCATTAAAGAACACAAGTCAAGCGGACCGGACGAAATCCCTAATTGGGTCTTGAAAAACTTTGCTTTTATATTACGCCGGCCAGTATCATCCATATTTAATTCCTCTATTAGTGAAGGCTGTGTCCCATCTTTGTGGAAGTGTGCCAATGTTTTGCCTTTGGGCAAAACTTCTCAACCGCGATCTATTGAAACTGACCTTAGTAAAGTACTAGAAGGGTTTGTGTTCCATTGGTTAGCTGGCATTATTATGCCTTACATCGACCCCTACCAATTCGGCAGCGTTAAGAAGTCATCTACGACTCATGCCCTCGTTTACCTAATACATCATCAACCTCGTACCCAGGGCCTGCCCGCCCGATTTTTTAATATGGCCGCCATTCTCGTACCCAGAGCCCTTCTTACGCGCGGCTAGCCCTGGGTACGAGGTTGATACATCATCTATTACAAGCGACCGAGACCCCTCGGACACTTGTTCGAACCTGCGTGATCAACTTCTCATTCGACATGCATTCGACAGGATCGACCATAACATCCTATTACACAAACTCCATATTCTCGGTACCCTTATGTTCTATTGACTCGTCTATTTTACAACAAGAGCTAGACAATATTAACCAGTGGTCGGCGGAGAACAACATGCAACTCAACATAAAAAAGACTAAAGAGTTTACTGTTTCATTCCTTAAGAGCAATCCCACACTACAAGCCCTAACTATCAACAGCCACCCATTGGAAGCCGTATAGTCAACTAAGCTACTCGGCGTAAAACTATCATCAGACCTGAAATTCGACCATTACTTGAGTATGCCTGCTCTGTCTGGCACTTCTCATTGACATACAACGTCGTGCGGTGAGAATAGTCTACCCACTCTTGACGTATAGAGAAGGGCTGCTAGAATCGAACTTACCTACTCTGTCTGACAGAAGAGAGTCCCTATGCAGGTCGTTTTACAAAAACACTCTAGCGTCTGATGATAAACTAAAGAACTTAATCCCTGAACCCGTTGTTGAACATTACCATCTGAGGCGCCCTCGCAAACTTGCACTGTTCAAGTGTAGAACCAAACGCTTCAGTGACAGTTCTTTACCAACATGTGTCAGAAAGTGGGACAATTGTCCTTGATCTGATTCATTTTAAATATTATTAGGTAGCTAGTATTTTAATTAGAGTTTCAATATTTCACAATACTTGTAACTTGAGTTTTTCAATTTATTATTGCTATTCAAGCTTTTAATAAACCATTACCATCAGTCCATGACGTTTTTCTCACATAATGACGTGAATTTACCTTGTTGCGTAGCTGTTTTTGTTCGATAGGCACCGACTTTTCACCCTTGCTATTGGTAATAACATCGTCATTTGATATTGGCTTGGGACTGTCTTGTCCTCCTGAGGAAAATATATATTTATTCTTAAGTCCGTTTTCCACTTCGCCCGTATCGTAACATAACGTAACGTAACGTAACGTACCGGCGAGCATGCGCAGCTTGAAGATGGGTTTTCAAATTTACGTACTTCCGGTTGATTCGCGCATCAAAATAAAAAGTTCGTCGCAAGTCAACTTTTTAGCGTACTACGGAAGTATTAACCAATAGTCTAGGACCTGTATATGAGTTTGTATGCATTTCATTTAGGACAGATAATCTCAACTGTTTTAGGGCAAGTTGACCATAACGGTCAACATGGTAACGCTGCCCGAACCCCAATCCGGGACGAAACGTCCGAAACTGACCACACCCAAAAACGACGCTTTCGCCATACTGCTATCTACCAAACCATAAAAGCTTTGGCTATTCTGAGGTGCTTATATGGTTCAGAGATGGTACTTTTGGGGGTGGTCATTGGTAAGTGTGAAATGCCAAGCACTAATATTTCACAAGAAAATGGCCATGCAATGATCATAGTTAAACGTCAATTTGTGGCTTGCAACTTCAGTTAAACAGCAGTGGACTTACATTACCTTTTTCCCTAAATCGTTTTGATAGAAACATAAATGGTACTTATTTAAATATATTATCACTGGTTTGGTGTAAAATAGTTAATATTTTCTGACCGAAATAATAATTTGAAATGTGCCTACCTCCTGCAAATGGACGTATTTG